ATTTGATTCTGTGGAATTGACGGCTATGCTAAACGTCATGCATAAACATAACATAAAACCTGCTTTCATCAACCTGATGCAGGAAATGCATACCCATTGCACGATCGACAGCAAGCTATTCGGCGAATCATGCGGATCAGTATCAATCAGAGTGTGCCAAGGAAGCATCATTTTGCCAGTGCTTTTCCGAGGTCCGGGAGTTACTTTTCAACCCGGCAATCTGGTTCGACTGCATCAGCATAGATGGAGAGTAGCTAACGCACTTATTTGAGGATAATTGCATGATCTTTGCAGAAGATGCAATAGAGCTCTGACCAAAGATTCAGCAGTTGCGAGAATTTCTTACCATCGGATCAGAAGTCGACCTTCTCAAGAAGAAATAATTGCGAAAAGAGCACTGTATGGAGGGCTCTGTCTACGCGAATGGCAAAACTCTCGAAGAGGTTTCATTAGCTGTGTATATCTGAGCGTCAAGAAAACAGCATGAGGTCACTAGAAAGGGAATCAGCTGAAGACTGAAGGTGGAATGAGCTAGTTTTCATCGTGTTCAAACATGAATAATCGTCAGTGAGCCATCCATGGGGGTGACGAGAGAACTGCTCGACTCAACCGTCGTACGTGCCAAAATCAACGGTGCTGATCATTCGTCTGTTGCTGAAGCGGAGGAGAACAATTTAATGATCATGCAAAGAGCGACAGGGCGAAAAGTGTGCTAGGTGTCCGTCGCGGATCATATTTCGGTCGTACGAATTCTACAGCGGACTGATTAACAGATCCGTTTTGTGCGTTCTACAAGGTGAAAAGAGAAACGACCTGGCCTGTGGCTTGCTTGAGAAACAGCCGTAGACTTCAAGAATTACAAACCGAGTTCTGCTGGACTACCATCGACAAGTCGATCTCAGAGAAGACGCTTGGTTTATCCAGTGGTGAACTGATTGGCCAGCGGTGGAGGCAGAAAGCGGATAACGGATATTGTTGGAAGAACATTGACTTGCGTTCGTGGAGCACCCATAACGAGGACAACAAGAATGACGGATGATTTGTAAAGTCAAAGAATCACTCTGCACTGAAACATGTCTACTTAAATTATCCTCGATAATCCTCTTGTGCTATCAAGCTGTAATTTTCGATATCTTCGATAGGAATGCTGTCATTCCACCAAATTTACGGTTTAAAGCTGCACCGCCTCGTTTTTTAAAGAAGTAGGGGACCGATTAAGTAGGCTATGATTCTATACTATTACAGTATTTGTGCCTATTGCTGCTATTCCGGTATCATGTGTCATGCAATCAGTGGAAGCACGTTAAATCAACATTGGTTATGGGTGCTGGATATTGAACGGAGTGCGAAGATAAAAAAGGTTTATTCAATGAATGGCTGATGGAAACTCAGAGGCTTTTTAAACGCCCTTGCTTTTGAGTCGTCGCTTCACCATATCGAGAGACCGCAGTCATGATCATTGGGACAAGTTATCAATTTGTCAAGTGAGAGAACGCAAGACCAGATCTTCGACATTGTCCAGGGGTGTGGCAAAAAAGGTAGACATGCTATCAGATGGCTTAAATTTGTTAAGAACTTGCATTATCGCTCCTTGAAATTCAACCTATGAAGCTTTCCCGGTTTTGCGAAAAGTAGAGAATATTGCAACACCCTTCTGGGGCGGCTATCCGTTAAACTCAAACAGAATAATGGGTTTTGAAATCGAATATTTGCATCTTATATATTTATGTTCGACGCAGCGTTAATAATTTCAATGCTACGGAGTTGAAGATCTTGAAAACACAATATGCTTCATATCTTTCCACTGAGTGGATACAGTAATTTGAAACAGAACAGCTGTCTTTGTACAACATCAGTGCACGTAGAACTGCAGCCAGTGCAACGTTTTTCGCCAATTCTTTTTTAAAATGGCTCAGATCCTCGATTCTTTCGCCTGGTGCAAATCGACAGATTTCGTTCGCTGCGACATTTGATGCCCCCTTTGACTATGAAAAACCTGGCCACGGTGATTTCCGGTGACTTCCTGGCAAGCAATGCAGCGGTCAGCGAAATCTGACTCACTCAGCATCATGATCATGTATATTTTGGAATAAGGATTTCCCAACGCAACCAGCG